CTCATAATGCTTAAGTCGTTCTGATAGAGCTTTACCAAAGAGATAATAGTTGGTTATAACATCCCGATTCGTAATTTTATTTTGCATTTCTGAATTAGTTATATTATTATATAAATCATTAAAACTAATAGTATTTTCTTTTCTAATTACAGGAACTTGAGTTTCGGGTTCAGTAGATAATTCTTTTATAAGATCTTTTAATATATCTGATTCCTTTTTAACCAGTTTCTTTACTTTTTTATTAGATGGTTTATTTGTAGATTCTCTGACATGCTTTTTTTGTATTCCACCTCCAAATAATGGCGATATATTTATTGGTGAATTTAGCCCAAGATTATTGCCTAACATATCTGCAATAGCCGAAGTTTCACTAGACTGAGATGATTTGGAAAACTTTTGTTCAAATATTACGGAATCAATAGTTTTTTCGTATTTAGTAATAAGGCATTTGTTTTCTTTTGTAAGTAAACAATTTTTTCAATGCATTTTTTATGATATATATGACTGCATGGAAGTATTGTAAGTGATTCAAAGTTAACCATTAAAATTTTTTTATTAAATATTTTATATGGTGGCAATTCCGTAATGTCAATATTTTGTACCGCACTATGTTTTGTTTCTTTTAAAATATTAAGAGTGAGGTTTTGAAGATTAGCAAGGGATATGATGATATCAGCAAAGCAAGTACAGATAAGTTTTTACAATAAAATTCTTTATACTTAGCTTATTTATAGTATATTCTTTATGATTAAAAAATAATTTTAGATACTAATTTCAGATTTAGCGATCTATTCATTTATGAATTATTTAGTATAAGTTAAGGACCGATCGATCTACTGGCAATCGTGAATGATTAGTGAAGAGAAGGGATATACACTTCATAGATTTTTATTTCACTTTGATACTGCCAATTTATAAGAAAAAAAAATATTAATATAAAAATATATCTCTCAATTGTGATCTCAAGAATTGCATTAGGAAAACGGTGGACAACTACCTCGATCTAATGATCCACAGGAGATAATATTTTTTATAACTGAATATTTATTGTACCAGAAAAAAATCTATAATATTTATGTAAGTACTGTGACTTTTCCTCCTTTGTCTTGCATATAAGCACCGTATCACTAGCCTAGTTATAGCACTAACTTAGACCTGATAATTTCGGTTGCAAAGAAGACAAGTGAGACGTACGTTCCCTTTAATATGCCCAAACTATTGTGGATTCGATCTACTATCTACTGAAGTATATCTTCTGGCTGATCCCATTCGAATTTCATTTTGATAAAACATGATGCGCATCTTTCTTCCTGAATACGTTTTAATATGAGGATATAGTCGACTGTTAGATCAAATTCACAGCCTTTTTCTTTATTCTGGCCCATATATCTGATAAGTTTTTACTGAATGGATGGTCTCAATTCATGTTCTAGCCATTTTTTCTTTTTTTCCTTCTCAATCTTTTGGGCAATTTCACAGGGTAATGGAGGCGCTTCAACTCGAATGAGTTGGTTTAAATATTCTACGTGACCAACTGTCAAATATATTAGATTATCCCAGGCTAGGTTTTCATCAATGACCCAAACATGTTGTGGCGATTTAAAAGTCATTCCTTGACTAGTATGAATAGTCATTGCGTATCTGAGTTCCCAATTTATGACTTTTTTATTTGCTAATATATCTTTTAAGAACTTGTCAGAGAGTGTATTTAAGGGCAAATATTCTATATCATTTTTTACTAACTCTTTCTTTTCAGATGAGCTGGGAATTTGGACAAGGCAATTCTGTTTGCGTCCATCTCTTGGCCTATAAATTAACAAGATCAGTATATTGGGATATTTTTTTCGATAAAGTTCTAGGCATTTATGGAAAGTAATTCTTTGGGAAAGTATATGTGCTGATAAGATACGATCTGATGGCTTCTATTCAGCTTCAAGATATTCCCATTTTTTTGCAACTGGAAGTGCTTCACAGAATAAGTTTGACTGCACTCTGTTATTTTGGCATCACATTTTTTTCTTAAGCTCTTGTAATCTAGAGCATTTGGCCCGATAGTCAGTCAAGACTTCCTTATAGTATTCAGTTCATTCTTTTAACTAGTCATTAGGCATTTCTTCAAAGAATGGTAGAGGCTGAGCATCATCTTCGCAACAGATTACCTAATATTTTTGCTCTAGTAAGTAGTCAATAAATATTTTGAGAATATGCCTAGGCACTGTGCATACCTCGTTCTAGATGACAACTCGTGAAAATTTCTTTTCTCCTATACATTTAGGTGTTCATTCTTCCACACTATTCCATCTAAAGAAGCTATGCCAAGTTTGGGCTTTTACTTTACGATCGTTTTAAAAATCTTTAGCTAGCACATTTGTATAGGTGAAAACAACCATGTTTATATCTTTGAAGATTCGAATTGCACGTGTTGTCTTTCCAGAACTACCACCTCCATTGAGATAAGTAACTCAGGATCTTGTAATAGGATCATGAATTGATGGAGCAGTACTTTCAGTAATATCTTTAATCGATTCCCAATGCCTATTTTTTGGCCAGTATACAACATTAGGATCTGGACCATGAATTTTTTCTCCTTTATCACGCCATTGTCCAGGCTGTATTTTTCTAATCAGTTTTGAAAGAATCTTTTCTTTTAGAGGTTCGGATATTTTAGTAATGGCTATACTAGTATTGCTAGATAGCTTCTTATCAGTAATAACTTTCCAAAAATCTTTATGAGCATACTAATCCCAAAAGCAATCATGACAAACAAATGGTTTATGTTTGCTACATGGAAAATATTCTCCTACTGCTAAAGGCATTTTAG